TAAGTTCATCTGTGTTCAAACTCACACAATGATACTAGCGAGGTTAATAGTTTTAGATATTTATTCATAACATAAACAGCGCTAGCATTACTGTCGATTCCATTACAGCTTAACCGGCGTTCCGAAAGAATACATGCACCGTACTAAATGCTAGGGCAGTTATTTTCTCCTTTGAATACTTCTCACCTGCAATAATGATTCCGTAACGTACCCCTTGCGCTATCTCTTGACCATTTGGCAACGTTTCGCTTCGTAGCTGACACTGTACAACACTTTTCCTCCGCTTACTTCACACGGCCAGTCATTTTGTTTACAAAGAAATGGTGAGCTATGCGCATGCGCTAGTAGAGGGAAATCCCGAAACAAAACGTTGGTCAGACAGGTAGAAATACCGATGATTATCTTAGATTTAATCATTTTTATGAATCTATTTCAGCCAAATCCGATCGTTATTTCCCATAAGGAGGCTCACTTGATATGTTTATGTAGTATTTGAAAAAAAGACACAAAAAAAGTTACTTCACCGTGATGCCCCTTTAACCTAACACTCGCCAGCTACACCAGCCCCTGCCTATTCTATGAATTTTGTTGTTTGATATATATTTGAAGTCCTTCTAAATGTCTAATAAAGATATCCTAGTTCTATCGACTGAAAACAAATCTAACCCTATCATCTGTGTCGGCGCTACTCGCCTACTCTTTTCCGAAAAACTCAGAGGGATCTCACACGGGACACCTTTTTATAGTCTCCGCCGACAGACTGTACTTTAGTGGTTAGTGGTTAGAGTCATGCAGGTGCTGTTTTTTCGCTGTCCGTTCAATGCAATCCTCTCCTCATCTTTCGTCACTGAAAATATAGCTGACTGTACTTTACCAATTTCTTCTTTCTTAAAAACATTGTCTTGTCTTTCACTTAGTTCTGTTCATCGTTCCGACATTTTATGATTTTTAGCTCACCTGGCTTCGTGCCAGGTGAGCTTATACCATGGCGCGGCGTCCGTCGTCCGTCCGTCCTCCGTCCGTCCTCGTCCGTCAACTTTTCCTTTAAACAACTTCTTCTGAAGAACGGACAGGCCTAGAGTCATGATATTTGGCTGAAAGCTTCGTTGGTAGGAGCCCTACAAAGTTTGAGAGCTAAAATAACCTTGACCCGTTTTCAAGGTCACAGGGGTCAAATATGTCCAAAACTTCAAACGACTTCTTCTGAAGAACTGAAAGGTATAGAATCTTCATAATTGCCTGATGGCTTCCTTGGATGGAGCCCAACAAAGTTTGAGAATGAAAATTTCCTTGACCTTCCTTCAAGGTCACAGGGGTCAAATATGTCCAAAACTTCAAACGACTTCCTCTGAAGAACGGACAGGCCCAGAGTCATGATATTTGGCTGAAAGCTTCGTTGGTAGGAGCCCTACAAAGTTTGAGAGCTAAAATAACCTTGACCCGCTTTCAAGGTCACAGCGTTCAAATATGTCAAACAGTTCAAACAACTTCTTCTGAAGAACTGAAAGGTATATAATCTGTATATTTGGCTGGTGGCTTCCTGGGATAGAGCCCAACCAAGTTTGAGAATGAAAATTAGTTTGACCTACTTTCAAGGTCACAGCGTTCAAATATGTCAAACAGTTCAAACAACTTCTTCTGAAGAATTAAAAGGTATAGAATCTTCATATTTGCCTGATGGCTTCCTTGGATAGAGCCCGACAAAGTTTGAGAATGAAAATGACCTTGACCTACTTTCAAGGTTACAGGGGTCAAATATGTCAAAAGCTTCAAATGACTTCTTCTGAAGAACTGAAAGGTATATAATCTTTATATTTGACTGGTGGCTTCCTGGGAAAGAGCCAAACAAAGTTTGCGAATGAAAATGACCTTGACCTTCTTTCAAGGTCACAGCGTTCAAATATGTCAAACAGTTCAAACAACTTCTTCTGAAGAAATGAAAGGTATATAATCTTTATATTTGACTGGTGGCTTCCTGGGATAGAGCCCAACCAAGTTTGAGAATGAAAATTAGTTTGACCTACTTTCAAGGTTACAGGGGTCAAATATGTCCAAAACTTCAAACGGCTTCTTCTGAAGAATTAAAAGGCATAAAATTATAATATTTGGCTGGTGACTTCCCGGGATAGAGCTCACCAAAGTTTGCAAATGAAAATGACCTCAACCTACTTTAGAGGTCACAGAGGTCAACAACATTTTAATGGATTTGTTCTTGAGAACTAAAAGGAATGGATTCATAAGATTTGGCTGGTAGCTTTTTGGAATAGAGATAACCAATTTGAGAAGGAAAAGGACATTGACCTACTTACAAGATCACAGGGAAAAATATGTCAAGCAACTTCTGAAGAAGAATCAAAAAGCATTGAATCTTATAATAATAATATTTTGCTGATAGTTTCAACAGATGGTGCCAACAAAGTTTGCAAGGGAAATATTTTTAGTGCAATATAATATTTAATGAGAATATTTTGCTATGACTGCTTAAATATCCAGGTGAGCGATACAGGCCCTCTTGGGCCTCTTGTTAGTATATAGTGTGATTATTAGTATGGGGGAAAAAACGTGTGGTGGTGGTGGTGGGGGATGGGGTAGTGGGTTGTTAGTGTTATAATTTGGTTATAACATTGATGGGAGCTGGAGGGGTTGGAGATTGAAAGTATGGGCTGTATCGAGTACTAGTTGTATGGACCGGAGAGGGGTTGGGGATGGTTGGGAAAGAGGGATGGGTTGGTTGTGGGATGATACTTAGGGGTTGGTGTTTTACTTTTATGTGTATGTGCTCATGTATACATCTACATTGTGTATATGTGATGTTTTATTAGGTATAACATCGCTGTGTTATTTGTTTTATAAAATTGGTTTGGGTATTTTGATTTATTGTGTATTATTAATATTACCCCTATTAGCTATGTCAGATAAACATATATTAAGTATGAGTTCAAGATTAACGCTTATCCCGTTATTCCTACCTGACTAATAGGTCCATATAGCACTGTTGGCTTCCCCCCTTCACCCGCACCAATGATAGTCCCATCCGACGGACTGTGTGTTAGTGGTTAATGGTTAGAGTCATGCAGGCGCTGTTTTTTGTTGTCCGTTCATGTAATCTGCTCCTCATCTTTCGTCACTCACAATAAAGCTGACTGTACTTTACCATCTCTTTCTTATAAACCTCACCATGTCTTTCACTATTTTCTGCTGATCGGTCCGACATTATATGATTTCAATGGCAAATAAAACGAGATTTTACTGTACACAGAATTAAGCTTGGATTAGGAACAATGTACCAGCTTAAACAGAAACCAAGCTCTGTGTTCTCAGATCTAGCGACTGTGTGATGTTCAATATGTTAAAAAATGAAAAACAGTTTGTGTAAATGTATACTCAACGTCTGCATGACATATTTATTCAAGAATTGCGTGGAAACATCTTCTAAATGTTAGTTATATAGACATCTTGTCGATACTTTTAATATTCAATTCTGTTTGGTAAAGCCTTTAACTTCTACGGTATAACCTGTCTAAACCGGATGCCGTCGGGACCAAACTATTTGTCCGGTTTACACAGGTGTCCGGTTTATACAGGGTCGGCATATCATTTTTTGAAAATACAAATATGTAGTGTTTTGCATACGATCTGTTTACAAGTGTGTCAACACAAAATAGAAATGAATCAATTGCAACGTTTAAATATTCACAATACATACAGTATATAATACAAATGAAGAGCGCCCCAACATTGGATAGCGCTAATTCGATTAGAATGTATTGTAAACAATATATATCATTCTATTGTGGATATTCATAATATTTTCTACTGATATTATATTCAGTCAGCTAATTACTAGTATGGTTATTTGAGCGGCTATGCACCCCAATCTACACAATTACTCGTTCAGAACAGGTCATTCGTACAATCACGTTTAGCGCACGTGCGAGTGAGTGGATTGACGATCGCTGTATATCAAGTGTATATGGCGGAAGTGCACTGCATACCTGTATGATCCTAAAGAGTTCCCGTGTCAAGGTGTATTTTGTTCGTTACAATTCAGTTCGTGAAGTGATAATTGCAATGAAATACAATTTATTTAGATATTCGTGTGTATGGATGATACAATAATGTATTTTGATTTGAATACTGATTATTTACTTGTTTCTAATAAGAAAACTTTAGTATAAAGCACGCGCATGAATATAGGCTAAGCACGTGATCACGTTCACCAATGATATTGCTCGTAAACATGTTCAGCCAATCAGAGTTGGTGACGGACAAAGAAATCTCATTCACAATAGTCATATTTTACATTTCGGCGCGAGTACGCCATTGCGAGAAACTGACTGACTGAGCTGGCCGTGGTAAGTGTATTTGCCTTATCTTTTTGTATTTTCCATATTCTGTGTGTTAAGGTATTTCATACATGCCTTTGTCAGTGTATATAGTATGTGATGGGCTCATAACTTTTCATCAAAATAAAAAAAATATGGAAGTTGGTTGGTATATATTATAATTCATGAAAACACTTACCTGTACATGAATTTTTGAAGTATCCGTGTATTGACTATTATCGAGAAAAATGTAAGAAAATACTTCAAATCTCAAGAATGATGGCATGTATTTTCATTGGATATTTTACAATAATTCATGAAGCTAACGAGGCAGATTACCCGAGTGAGAACCTGAAGGTGTTTTGCATGGTGTACAGGTAAAATCGCACTTGCTTTGCATGCTTTTCCCCAACTTCAGGCAGCCTTGTTGGCTTTATGCTCAGTTGTTATTTATTCAGTGGAAATATATGCTATTATTCTGGAGATTTGACACATTTTCTTACATTTTTCTCGATAATAGTCAATAAATGGAAACTTCAGGGATGCATGTTCAGGTAAGTTTTTTCATTAATTCCATTGCAATTTTGCGCCACTAGAATTCTGCATTCAAATGTTACTTTTCAGACAAAGTCAACAATATTTTCAACAAATAATTTCTGCAAAGGTCATTATTGACATTTTTCCTGACATGGGTATACCAACCAACTTCCACATTTTTATCATTTTGAGGAAAAGTTATGAGCCAATCTCATACTATATACACCGACATGAGCCTGTATGAAATACCTTAAGCATTTACGATTATTTGGGAACCTTTACATATAACTGTTGCGTACTGTTGAGGATTGTGATATCGCTGGTGGTTTGAACTAGGAATAAGACATATATCGTTCCGACGAGGTTTGAATTGATCGAACAACAGTTTGTACGACATTGACATGGCTTCCTGACGAAATAATTAAACAAGTCTGTTGATTTAAACTCTATTTTGTTCATTTGCTACACTAGCATGAGGTTTTTTATTAGTTCTTTTATTCAATACCATTTTTAAAAAAATGAATTGTATGTACATTGTATATAGAAAGTGGGACCTGTGGAACATTAATATTGCTTTTGTGTATGATTGATGTTCTGAAAAAGGAATTAAAGACTTGCATAAAGTATGTTTGAATATTAGTTTGTCAGGGGTATAAATCTATATTTCGCGCGGTTAACTACAAGGAATTAGCGCGAAATTGTTTTCTCTAATGGTACCCCGATAGATGGCGACACCTGTAGGGCATGTGTAGCACGTGCAGCAAGTGTTGCTTGGACCTCAGTTCAGGTCAACGCACTGGTCGGGAAGGAGGTATAGAAAATGGCAGAGGAAAGACCAGCGATATCACTAACAACATTTTTGGAGGCGATACACACTCAGAAAAATGAATTGCAGGGGTACATGGACACTCAAATAGATACGTTGAAAAGATATCTTAAAACTGCAACAGAAGATAATTCCAGGGTTGATGTTAAAAAACTAAAAGCTGATGCGGACATCTCGTGGCGTAGGAATGGAAATAAAGAACAATTTAAATTCAATGCCGAATTAGAAGAGAATTTGACCAAGGCCGTTTGGGCAGGTGGAGTGGACAAGCACGAGTATTGTCACGAATTGATAATTAAATGTTTGGAGGACATTAAAAACAGAAATAAACTTATCAAGTTGGCGGACTCTTCAGAGTGTGGTTGGGATACGGTCAAGTGCTATGTGACCAATACAATAGCCAGCGACTCCGAGGACGAGAAGAAAATTTATAAAGCAGGAGCCAGAGCTCGGAGAAAGAAAAAAGAGAGACTAGCGAAAGTAAAAGGAAATAGACGAGGAAAATCCAGATTTGGACATACAGATGGCGGCTCTAATTTTAGTCGCCCTCCTGCTGCTTCCGGTCAGAATTTTCGTGACAACACAGGAGTCGTCACAAGGAAGCGGTAGTCGGGAGGAGCCTGCTTTGGCTGTGGTCAGTTTGGGCATTTCAGAACTCGGTCAACTCCGCAGATGGACGGCCGGGATTCCACCCAACAGCGAAGTGATATTGAGCCAGCGAACCAGGAGAGGCACACGAGGGGGGAACAATTGGTGCTAGATAAATATTTTAGCGAACAATGTGACAATGCGGGGGTTCTTGATAATGACTTGTTATTAACCGAAGATTATTATGAATATGAGCAGGTAGAAAAGGAAATACTGGTGAAGGGTAGGTTATATAAAAATGTAGATTTTTGGAGAAACATAGGGGCTAGTAAATTTATTCTGGATGTTATTCAGTTTGGTTATAAAACCCCATTTTTTTTCTACACCTCTTCCTTCAGTTTCTTTGTAATAATAAATCTGCACTGTCCAATTCGGTGTTTGTAGAGGAGGCTATAGACGTATCAACCCATCCAAGATGGCGGCACGGGTCAGAGGTCATAGGGGGAAAAAACCTCGCTCCAATGTAAACAAATTTGACAGTTCAACATGAGACGGGCCTCGCATGAGACATGATTTAGATTTACACTTATTTTTTGTATTGAACGTTATATATACTTTATAAGACAACGGATCCTAATGATCAGAATCTAATTTTAGATGATTTTATAACATGGAAACTTCCCGAATTACATGATTTTTTTACCAAGCGCGGTTTGTCAAAAGACGGAAGCAGGAAATGACTGTAGGCATTATGTTTTGCTGCATTTACGATTAAGCTACCACTTGTCCAAACCACGGAATTCAATTAAGTCTGTGTCCAAACTGATGCCTGTATTTTAAAACATATCAGGAAGATTACTTTAATTTGTTACATGTAGACGATGGACATACCGGACCCATTGTTATTACACACTGGGTGGGTCGATGAGAAACTGGGACCGTTTATATATGTACAGACTATTCTTAATGATTACAAAATCGAAAAGGCTTATGAGTGTTTTCAGTCTGGTCAATTTCAGGAAGTTTACTACCATTCAATATCAACTGCATCGGCTGTATTTTGTCAGCCAAATGTACACTGTACATGTGTTGTCACAGAAAGTGAAGGGCGACTCGCATACAGTGTATCGTACATCCTATTGCAAGGGAAATGGAGCAATAAAATCGGCTATGAAACCAAGACAACTTGATACCTGTAGGTGATTGTGTGATGTTTAAATGAAAGCATTAGTTAACATTCTATTTATCTTTTTGAATGCAAACTAAATGCTAAACAGCGAGTCATACCCTAATATGGACAATACAAATATATAAATTTTCTAAAAATATATTAGTTAGCTATGGAAACTATTTGAGATTAGTAATAAATAATATAAAGCACTGCTTATAAATATTGTCCTGTACATAACACTTGTCAATTATGTGTAATAGACTGGGCACATTCAAATATCAAGGAAACGTTTTTATGGTTTAAAAAATATCAATTATCTCCCTTAGACTAGGACATTAAATATGATTGTGATGACTCAATAAACAAAAGCAGGTTTCAGTCAAACTTGAAAATTGACCTCAGTCTTAGTATATTGTACATGCTCTTATAAGTTATCTTGTGACAAATATGGAACCTTTATTGTGCAATTTGTTGGAGTATAAAAAAAAATCACCCAAATATAAAATCTATTGCCAGGGAACTGGAACCAGAGGCCTAACAATCATACAAGAAAGAAATGTTGAAGTCTTTTTATAGTAAAGTGTCCATTCCTTGACCAGAATCACTTTTATTTAGGAGCAAGTCCAGACCTGTTGGTCACTTGTGAGTGCTGTGGGGATGGTGTTGTAGAAATAAAATGTGTCCTTGTTACAAAATGTGCTAAGTGTTCAAGGCTCTGCTCTTGTAAGCTTCAAGTCTATTTATGGTTCTATATGTTTGAAAAAGAAACATCCATATTTTTGGCAAATCTAAGGGCAGCTTGCCATTACAGGGAGAAAGGGTTGTGACTTTTATATGTAGCAAATTGTATACACATGTAATTATTTGGCAAACACACAGAAATGATTTTATTTAACAGCTCCCTACTATTTGCTAGTACTTGACAGCTTGATATTGTTTTATGTGAAGTTTGTAGTGCCTGAACTTTTTTCAATTAAGACCTTTGAAAAATCAAAATGAAAAACACAGATCTGCATGTCATGTCAGAGGCAATGGACATTGATCATGCCCCTGACACAACACATTTCTGCCCTGTATGTAATTAAAAGCATGTAATCAAGGAAGGACACAGCATACAGAAATATGGGAATCAAAGCATTGGATGTGATTATTGTCATCTTTGGTATCACTTTGCATGTGTACAGATGAATAAACTTGCATCACAGATTAGTAAATGGGCATGTCTAAAGTGCAGTGTTATTGGCAGAGTTTGAAAGTTTAAAGTACAGACTTTGCAAGTTAGGCAAAATATAAAAGCCTTGTTTAGGCCTAAAAATAAATATATGAGGTTAGATTTTGTATGCAAGTCGAAAATGCACAGTTAGTTTGACTGCCACATTATATTGCATGTATATATAATATATATATCATTATATTCTTGCTTAATTGATATTCAATTAGAACTCTTCATAGAATGTGCTTTATATTTTAACCATATTTGCACAATTTCATGTCCAAGTATTACCAATAACTCAATTAGGTTCAGATAGAGTATTGGAAGAGATGGATACAGTAGGTATTAAGATAATTGTAAATTTTTCCTTTTTTTTGGGCTGGAATATTAATAAAGACCTGTTCAGTTCCAATTTGCCTGATCAATCATCCGGAGAGCCAGGTCTCCGTGCTGGTCATATTTCTACTATTATCAGATCAACCGAACTATTGACATGATTGACCAGACACCACCAATGCACATAAGTTCCACTACAAATGTATTTAATTAACAGGGGTTGAGTCTTGGTCACACTAGTCCACTAGTCGTTGACTAGTTGATTTCAGCAAGGACCAGTGAATCACCTAACTGGACCTTTGGACTTGTGAAAAATAAAATTATAAAATAACAATATTACTTTCTAAAATTTTGAAAACTGCTTTAAATAATATATATATTGCATGATAATTGTCAAATAAAAATCCTATAACTTAACCATATTTTTATGGCAGTAGTTATATTAAGTCTTCTTTTGATGTTTCATGCTGTAGATCGCAATGTTTCCTGATCAGGAAATCTTATAGAACTTTACATTGACAAAGGACTAGTAAATAATCTTTTCAACTAGTCCTGTGGATTACCAAGCAAAAAAGTTTGTGTCCATCCCTGATTAATCTACAGAAAATACACATTTATATTTACTTTTTTATTTTATTTGTTGTGTATCAGCTATTGTGAGATGCACTCATGTGGTTTTCCAAGTTATAACCAGTACAAAAATGACTTTCCAAAGAGTGCTGTGTCTCCAACATTGCTCGTCCAATAATACCCCTTGACAGGCCCCAATGAAAATTTATATTTTACTCAAAAAAACTTGATGACGTTATTTATGACACAATCTGAGACAAGAAATTACATTAGCACAAGTTTGACAATGGCGTATAAATGATTCTTTTGTTATCGTTGAGAAACGATGAGGTTACATTAATGTTAATATTTGCCAAACGGAAAGTGGAAAAACGACATCATACTTTGAATATTACATGTTAATAACTTGATTGGAATTATAACCTTGAGTTGACAGTTTGATACTTTGAAAATTTTGAGCCAGCCCTACCCCCCAAGGGCTGTAGAGTGGGGCTCAAAGGAGTCAGTGTGCTAAAATTTCTTCATTTTCCTTGTTTAGAATCAGAGGTGCTAGTTTCAAATACTTTTTAGTCTGAAATATGTAGGCTAGATATTGAATAAGGTGCTTTTCATTGTTTTTTGTCACTTTGAATAATATTTCTGTTCATGTTAAAAACAAAATCAACTCTCTGTATAAATATATCAGGTGACCGTTAAAGCCCATGGGCCTCTTGTTATTGGTTGTGATGGTTTCAACACTTTTTAACAATTCTTGTGAAACATAGTTGATAGCCCCCGTCTTGCGGTTGGCATAAACTATGATATCATTGTAAGCTGGAAAGGGGCACAGAGGAGGAGACTCCAGACTTCCTGTAGTCTCAGTATGCACAAATTATTGATTGGATCAGTAGCAATCCAATCTGGTACAGTCTCCCTAGGTATCCAAAGGGTCCTAACCTATACGCGGTAGTGCACAAATTGGTGACATACTGTAGTTGGATATTTTATCTGGGAGGGGAGAAGTTTGTTCCACCTTTACACATGATGATGGTGATGGCAAAGGTGGGAAGTGTGACATGTCGGATATGTCTATAACCGATATGGCTTCGCTGTTCATAAGTGGAACAAAATTATTAGGTGTCCAGAAACCACGTGTTTGTACACTGACGCTGGACCACATAATACATATTGCGTTGCCTGCGATTGATCCCCGTGGCCTGAAAACGGTGTTTAGTATCCCAACACTTGGGTCTAAGACACCATTGACAGCAGGGAATATAGACTTGATGGGTCTACCTTAGTAAATGCTGATGCAGCAGCATGGACTGTCCAAGCTGAGCAGAAAGATTTGTTTCTGGCACTGTCCCGCACTGCTTCATCAATGGACGGACTCACCATATTTAACCTATCATGAATATGTACATTCTCGAAAAAAGATTTGTTTTGAACAATCTCTATTCAAGTTCTAACCCTAATTTCTGTGGACAATCGCTCGTTCCCCTGAATGGCCATTGAGAGAGAATTGAATAGACAATTCCTGCCCCCCCCCTCACCACTATCGAAGTCATATCAGTAATTTCCCCTAACAACTTTGATGCCGAACTATCTATTATCATTGTGTCAGTGAAGTTACATTTCTTTGCAATATTTGACCTACCTACTGACCGCATGAAAATTGCTTCAAGTGCAGTTGCCTGAACTAAGTCACCGACAGCAGAAGCAGACCCTAACCTATCAAGTGCTAAGTGGAAATTATAGCTTTCGTCGCTGTGACAATAGCATTGAGAGCACTTGTATGAAAGGGGTGGTTTCCGCAGGATATTGAACTGTTGCAGGTTCAACTTTTAACATTTGTAATGAAACCATTTGTCACAATGATCACAAGCTACATTTTTAGTTCCATTGCAGTTTTTTGCACAAATACCGCAGGGATACATATTGGGCATGATGACGAAAATCGCCGGGATATTAAATAAGTTGAATATATTACTAGTTAACAAAGAAACCTTATATC